AATTACCCCATTCATTCAAGGGTTGCCTGGATCCACGCCCACGGTCTCGTCCACTACGTCAACCCTCCATCGATTTTTAACAAGTTTAGACTCGGAATGCAGATGCAAAATTTAAAATTCATAGATACATGGGTAAAACGTAAAAATATAAGCAAGCCAAAAGTCAAGTACATCTAACACAACCCTTTCATACATATCTCACAGTAAAAGTCAGGTACAAGCAAAAACAATCCTAGTAATACAAGTAGCAAGATCATATCAAAAGTACAGTGAATAAAAACTATACCAAAAGTACAAAAACATCCAATTCGGGACTTTCCTAACTATCCCTCACATAGGGTCAAAATATGGCTCATAGAAACTCTGACCTAGTTCTCAACAAAGCTAGTAGATGTTTCATTTCTAGGGCTATGGCCTACGTCAGCCAAATTTGCATCCACCACCTTTCAATTAGAGCCCTACATTCTTGCAAAATACCCTCAATTCGGTCTCCTACTTCTCTTAGAACCGCAGTGAGGCGTTCATTAACCATTTGCACCTGTTGGCACATAGCATCCGTCCATTCTTGCTCCTGACCAACGGTATCTTGCAACTCCGGGATCCTATCCTTCCACATCTCCATAATTACTCTCATTCTTTCCGTCTCAATTTGGTCCCTAAAATTAGCATGCCTAAGGCTTCTCCTCTCATCTAACGCCGCCAAAACCACATGATCAGCATAGGAATAGTTCTGGCAACGACTATATCTCCTAGTCTGACTTGCGAAACTCTAACGTCAGATTGGTTCCCCTGGCCTCTCCTCATAATCAATAATCCGAAGGTGCTTCCGAGGGGGTTCACTTCCACCCTCTCCAATGGTTCCTTCCATGACCTACAAGGATAAGCACAATTTACAACTTAGGCAAGGTTAATCATACTTAATGGCATCCTAATGCGTCACACTAAAGTTCCTTCGAATCAAATTTATATTTCGTCTATGTCATTTCTAACTTAGGCTCTGATACCAATTGTGACAGCCTCACCTTTCCTTAGAGCATACCACAAGGTTAGCGGACTGCCTGCCCAACTCTCGCCAAAACTAACTAAACCAAAATTCACAGAAAGTACTAAAACGCGCAGTTAACTTCCAATCATCAACCCAAAACTATATACAATAGAGTCACTAACTATTCAAACTTAAAATACAAACCAGAGTATTCAATCTTATACAATTACATGTAAGCTTTACTAATACAGAGGAGTTTAAACAAAATGCCTAAAAGCTATAACTAGCTCAATTCTTCCCAAAAATCACGCTCCCAAAACTTCGCCCCTGTAAGGAAAACAAAGATGACAGAGTGAGTTTTCGCCCAATGAGGTACCGCAGGTCATGCAGTCGAAATCACATAGTTAAAACTTTAATCTATCAAATATAAGAATCAAGTAAAAGAATAAGCAAGCACCACAACTAATACAGCGCGGTTCAAATAAAAGGATACAGATGGCTCTCAAGAGCCAATTTCCCCAATCGCATTAGCTCGATCCAATCCAGTTGACCCTCTGTCAACGTTTAGAGAAGCAAAACATTGACCGTGGATCCTTGCTTTACATCAATTTTCGTCCACCAAACATACCCCTTATCGAACCCGAACACCAAATAGAAACAGTGGTGGTAATACTCGAGTATACCAATTATCAGAAGTATCCAATATTTAATAAATCAGTGACAGTTTTCCTTATGGCCCATCAATCTACCTTGATCAGCCCTTACTAGCTCGATTCAATTAACAACCAATGAGGTTAAGCTCAAATTCACAGTAAAGTCATCAGATAGTGGGCATCCAAACGACATTCAAGTCATGCACAAGTAATAGATTTCAAATGAATAGTAGACCAGTCAAACAGTCAAGTGAAATCGAGTGTGATAAAGTACACACCCGTCCAATCCAGATTCAACCAAATCACAGTCATACTACTCATAAATTTCAGTCACAAGTAGTTCACTTTAAGCAGCAAGTCATGCAAGTGATACACTCATCGTTTTAAAGTAGAGTAAAGCTAAACGTTCGATCCCGGATTGTGCTCGTTTCCACCATCAAACACTAAAAGTAACCAAAACAAGATGTTATGGTCCAACCATTCAAAACTTAGGTTAACAAAGTGCACACTTTAGACTCAACTATGAACCATACGCCTATCCGAGTTTGACCTCTTAAAACACAAAGTTCACAAACAACTTGAAAGCTAATCGAAGAATATCCAAGTGCATTATAGAGCTATGATTCAAGTAAATTAATTGTATGAAAAGAAAAACACTTGGATTCAACAGATATAAGAAACCAAAAGAGGACAATTATATATTTATAACTCATGAAGTTTAGCAAGACATACGTAAGATATACACACCACTATTAGAAGAAAATAACCAATCTCGAGTCTAAAGTTAGGCAAACGAAACTAAAGAGCATGATAGCGGAAACCATTAATTTTCCTCTTGTTTGACACATGATTTTTGACAAAATTTCAACTTATACGTCACTATCAAGGTGGATTCAAGCAATCATAAGTAACCGGAATCCAAACCAACCCAAATCACCCCTCTAACTTCTCTTATATCACAAGAAAGAAAATAACAAAAATTTCAGCAGCACTTCCCCTTATTTCCTTAATTTTTCCTTCCAAACTCAACACTTATCTTTATAGCAATCCAACCTCAATCACAACCACAAGTTATAGGCTATAAAGTACACTTGTTTAAGTCCACAAAGCTACCCAAAATAGGCAATTATCTAGCTCAAACACAACCATATCAAAGCTGGAAAAATGTAACCCTAAGCTGAAATTCACCTCTACAAGCTCAAATTTTCTATAATGAAACCAAAATAACATATAAAAACTAGAAAATTCACATGGCAAAGCTAATAAATCATAGTCAAGCTCAAACCAACATATCAAAGCTGAAATTTCTCACTTAAAGTTGGAATTTTTCAATGACCACACAAACCATGAAATTTTCCATGAAATCCACCAAAATCAAGTCTTAAATCTACTCATATGCAAGTAATAAAAGAAAAGATGATTTCTTGGTATGTTTACTTTCAAGTCCTAAGGAGTTATGCAACCAAAAGTTCCTTTTCCTCCAAAATCTTTCCACCAAAGTACTTAATCCTTCCTAAATGTCACTTTTTATGGAGTGGTTTACAAGTTTTGGATGAAACTTCAAGGATTCAAGCAAGAATGGAAGGTTAAAGATGAAGTTTTTTCTCTCTTTTTCTTGCTCAAGGAGTCGGCCAAGAGAAAGGAAAGATGATAGGTTTTTTGGTCAATTTTTTTTGTTAATGGTTAAGAATGGTCTTAGTCAAAGTCAAAACTGCATGGCTTTGTTGACAAATATTTTTCCAATGGTTTATCCACATCTAATGGTCATCCAACTGCTAAAATATGTAGTCAACCTCTAATTATCTCTTAACACCTTATAAATAATATCTCTTTGCACAAAACTCCTCTTAATTTTAAAAAATTTATCATACACACCTCACTAGTGGGTCCTACTTTCATAATGCACTAGGAACTTAACATGTACTAACTTCTAGAAGAAAAATGATTTAAAAATTTGACTCACTTATAAAAATATCTAGAAAATTAAAGCAATAAAGTAAAGTAAAGAAAATGTATTCAAAACATACAATAAAATAAAAATAATTTTCGGATCCTCACATATTGATTCAGATGTGTAATTTGGTACCATATTGTTTAGTAATTAAAGGTAAATGGTTTCTAAAAGGAATATTCGCCAAGATCAAAATTTGTTAGGAAATTGGTTTAATTTTTTGTAAATAGGTTTTTATATTGTGTGGAAATAACTAATTTTCTAATTGTTTTAGTTACTTGAATTAATAGCCAAGAAATTTTTTATTTGTATAAGTTTGGAATTAAATTTTTTTTTATTATGTATAAGATTAGGAATTAGCAGTTATTTTCTGTTATTACTAGAGTATTGGCCAAGTAATATAACTTATAAATAGGCGGAAGTTGGCATACTACAAGGTACCATACAAAGAGAACATGTAGTTTTGTAAATGGAATAAAATAGGATTCTTAGAAGAAGAGAGATGAGATACAAGAAATGAGTTTGGGTTCAAATTGTATTCTTGTATAAAATTTTCCTCTTATAATGAAGAATCGATTTTCTCTCCGTGAACGTAAACTCAATGATAGAATCGAATCACATTATATTTTATCTATCATTTATCTGTTATACTTGTGACTTGTTTGTTATTAAATTATTATGTACTTGATATTTCAATAGTCATGTATTTCACAATTAGATCTCAACAATTACTAATGGAAGCAAAGTTTCAACTTTTTGAATTCAAGAAGTACGATCAAGCAATTTTACTTTCACAAGGATTTGGAACAGGAACGATTGCAGGAAGCAACCATTCCGGTAGGTTGATGGCCAAGATTTAGCCAAAAAAAATATAATATTCAGATTTTATCTTGTATATTATTTTTTACACTATGTGTTGAACTTACAAAATTTTGTTCTATAGTTACACGTTGTGCAAAATGACTTGCATCATGTGCAAACTGAGTTACATCATGTACAAAATGCACAAAACTCTGTTGACTGTTCCTGGCCCAAATCCACTTTCACAAGTATTTAACCTCCATTGTAGTACATTAGAACCAGTACTTAATACGAGATGAATTATCTGAATAGGAGAACTTGTTCATGGTCATAGTTAAAGGGCAATTAAAAGTTGATGGTAGCGAACAATAATCTTCATTTTTGGTAGAAGCTGTTTTTCATGTAATCAACCTGCAGCCACTTTTACATTCCACACCAGCATGCATCTATCTATCTTCACAGCCACTCTAGAACAGGACTCTGATTTGAAATTGTATATACAGACTACTCTTTTGTCAACAAAAGGACCTCAACTATAAATTTGGGCTCAACAAGAAGGCCGCAAAGCATATCTACCTGCAACAATGAAAATATCCACTTCAAAGTTCTATCAGAGCTCAGATTTTGCATTCAAAGGAAGCTGAAAGGAACCAGTATCCAATCTCTGGGATGCAGCTGGCTTGGAAAAGTTGTTAGATAAATGATTTTTCATTATGTTATGCCCTGAATCAGCAACATTCGCTGGCAATGGTAGCACCTGAACAGGTCTTTCAATTTTCACAGGCCTTGATTTGTTTTCAAAACCAGGAGGAATTTCTATGCCTGCTTCGCTTGAATTAGTAGGATCCACTGCCAGTGGCAGCACCTCTTCACATTGTCTTGAAATAATAACATCCATTTTTCCCACCTCTTCCCCACCCACCATGTCTATTTCCATGTCATCAGATGCTGCGACAGAGGCAGCAATAATATCTGTTGCCAGCGGTACCAGCTGAAGAGATGCCCTAGGAACAGCAACATCAATTCTTCCAACCTCTTCCCCAGCCATCATGTCTACGTCCATGTCAATGTCCTGATTGCTGTTCCATTCACCAGGAATTTCATAAGCACCATCAACCTGACATGCATGTCTTTTAGCTTTTTTCAAGGAATGAAAAACTCCCCATAGAAAGTGTCTCCCATTCCATTCTGTCAAGTCATTTAAATAAAAGGCAGAACAAGGCATGTCAGACAGTAGCACCGACAGAACTACTATAGATATTTCTTGTCATTTATGTAAGAAACATGACATTCTGTTACAACTCATTTAAATTAAATGAATTAGCATCACTAGCATATCAATCATAAAGTCATCGTGTTTAGTCTACATTTTCATTATAGAAACCTATATGAAGTATCCTTAAATCACAAACACAAAGTTCAACTCAGAATAGGAAGTAGAAGGTACATAAAGATTTGAACCCCGGAAGGTATTAATCCAGTTCTCTACCTTTCAATTGCAGTTTGTATTTTTTCTTTATGAAAGAGATAAATGACACAAGTTGCCACTTTTTTTTGGCCGATTACTCTGAGAATAGAAGCATCTCAGAGTTTACATACTTCACAGAATGAAGACCAGACATCTCTAGTTCTACCGTTTAGGTTCAAGACAACAACCGTTAACTGAAATTATGCCAACACCGTGTGTATTTGATTCTTAAAACAAGGCTGGTAACTCTTTAACAAGCACATCAACTAACACTCATCTGGACAAGAATCAGAAAATAGTAGGAGATCTCACCTTGGCAGTCCAAGCTCAAGACTTTAGATGTAAATATTAACAGCTCAACCCCATCCATTAGGTTCCGCAGTGCTAAGTCCCCTGCTTCCATGGCTTCTAGCAATGAGAAATAGCTCTCACACCTACATGTCAAGACAAAGTATCTAATTATCAGATATAGAAAAAAAGAGCAGTAGAGGCAGAAACTTTTTGCCACATCCCAAAGACTACCTCTCAATAAAACTGGGAAAGAAGTACAGTCCAATATCTCTTCTGTCAAGACAGTAATTCTGGAACAAGTTTGGCCAAAGATCCCCCGCGGAATCAATTCAAACCCAAGAATTTCAGGCATATGCTTTGAAAATTCATACACCTTTCTAAGGACTCTGGAAGGAGGATAAGCTTGAACTCCATTCATTTCCCCATGTTCAGGATCATTATAAATCTTCAAGCGTCCTCTACAAACAGCAAAAAACTTGGTTGCATTGGTAAAGAGAAATGATCAAGAATTTGGGAAAATTTAAGGCATGCATCATGATTCAAATAAACATTGCACAGATCCAGGAAGAAATTTTTTTGGTTGTAGAAGTCAATAGAATAATCAATATGAACAGGAAGCAAGGCAACTATAGTACATTGGTAAAGAGAAATGACCATATAATAAGTTGTAGGAAGCCCAATTAAGCCACATAACCATCAGTGAGATCACAACGATGTGTTTTGCAGCATCAGAAAATTCAAGTCAATCATGAGGTTTTTCCTGAGCATTAAGCACTTGAAGTAGTTCCAACTTGTAATGTTACTAAGTGAAAAACAAAGACATGGCTCCATGATTATAAAAGAAAGGGATGGGTGATTCAGGTAATGTCGCCAAGATAGAAGGCAATTTTTACTGGTTGCATACCTGAATTCGAGAATCCCTTTTCAGAAACAACATTAGTAGTTTCTTAAATAAATTAAGCATAATATACTGAGGAATTGCTGTTAAGGTAAAGTTTACAATCAAGCATAATATAATAAGCCCAAGTGAGCAGAAAATGCAAGGAATCTTAAAGAAAATACAACAAAGCTAAAAAAATCCAGGGAATTGCATTTAAATGCTCATAGAGAACACCAAAGAAGGTAAAGTATGATATAATTCAGCAAACATCTCCTAATACCAGAAATGTTGATCATCATTCAAGGTAATCATTCTCACAATGGAAAATATTCTGTAATGGCACCTGAGTTATTTTGCATGTTTGTTTTAGACAAAGTTTTTTCCCTACTTTAGCTACAGGAACCCTGTATAAACAAGAGGGTTGTTTTTTGGTACATAATTTAGTATCTGTCGACTAAACTCTTCATACCAAAAAACAATTTAGTATCTGCGACTAAACTCTTCATACCAACAAACAAGTCATCGTTGTGATCTGTAACTAAACTCTTCATAGAGCAATTCTGAGCTTGCAGATAATTTAGTATCTGTGCCTAAACTCTTCATACCAAAAAACAAGTCAGTTAACAAAAAGTAGATCTACTTACTTCCAGGTAGCATCTAAAGCAGGACCACTTGAGCATTTCCTGACCTCGGGAAAGATACCAATTGGATCAGCGGTCCTAGAATCAGTCTTCTCTAGCTCCAGATTGAGGAAAACATCACCACCTGAAAAATCAGATATCCTCATTTGATGTATGGAATACCTTGATCAACCATGATAGCTTTTACTAGTAGAAATATAACTAAATCAAGCACATGTACTCAAGCAGTTTTATTAAAAATGATTCTAAAACCAGGCTGAAAGAATTTACCATTGCCCTTATATCTCTGAATTTGATTGAAACCACAAAAAGGAGTAGTAATTATCTTGCCTGAAATAACACTTGCTTGACCACATGCCACTGGTGAAGATGCAGAGACTGTTTTGATAATTTCCTTCTCCACCCTAGTTTCTGCTTTATACTTAGAAGTATCCTTAGGCTGTTCCTTCTGCATTTCTCCCTTCAAGGAAGCCTGAAAAGGACCTGTTTCTGCAACAGCAATTCAAATTCAACAAACTGCATCAGGGATCAATGTAGATTCAGAAAATTAAAGCACATTAAGGAATTTAGACGTCTCTCCTTGGTCCACCATCAAGCAGGTTCCACTCCTGATTAAGATAGTCCAAATGCAATTCCGGTTTTTTAACCATTGCAATTTGTCCTAAAACTGGTTTAGAAATTTTTGGCACCACCAAAGAAGACAAGTCAACAAATATCAGTGCCGTGCAGCTTGAGCTAAAACATTTTACCAAAGGTACCATGGTCTCCTTCAACATAAAGAGGTGAAAATGGAAAATAAACATACTACACACTGTTTACTTTTGACTGAACAATCCATAGTTGACACAAAGTCCTAAAGCATCACCACCTGAAAGATTAGATGTCCTCATCTCATATGTGGACAACCTTGATCAGCCATGATAGCTTTAACTAGATGTCAGGGATATAGCTAAATCAAGCACATGCAGTCAAGTGGTTTTGTTAATCATCACACTAACATCAGACTAACAATTTATCACCTCCCTCATACACTGACTTACATCAAAACCACGAACAGGAGTGGTAAATTATCTTGCCTAAGTTTACACTTGCTTGACCACATGTCGCTGGTGAAGAAGCAGAGACTGCTTTCGTGATTGCCTTTCCCACCCTAATTTCTCCTTTATCCTTAAAAGTATCCTTAGGCTGTTCCTTCTGCATTTGTCCCTTCAAAGAAGCCTGAATAGCACCTGTTTCTGAAACAGCAATTCAAATTCAGCAAACTGCATACCAGAGATCAATGCAAATTCGGAAAAAATAAAGCACATTAAGGTATATAGATGTCTCTCCTAGGTCCACCATCAGGCGGGTTCCACTTCACGATTATGATTGTTCAAGCATAATTCCAGTGTTCTACCATTACAACTTGTCCTAAAAAAGGGTTTAGAAATTTTTGGCACCACCAAAGAACACAAGGTTACAAAAATCAGTGCTCTGCACCTTGAGCTAAATGTTTTACAAAAGATAATATAGTTCCTTCAAAATAAAGAGTTGAGAATAGAAAATTAACATATAATACATTGTTTACTTTTGATTGAACAATCCATAGTTGGCACGAAATTTCTTTACCATGCAACACCCTTTGCAAATGGATAAAAATTAGCATATTACAAGAGTAAAATTTTGCCAGTTTATATTTATATCTGTTACTTCCACCAAGACTAGAATTTGTGGATAGAATGTAGTTAATAACCTCTTAGTCCTTTGAAAGATTGTGGAACATGTTGCCCAGGCACCGTATTCAACTGGGAGTTGTTAGGTCTCACTGCTTTCAACTGTTTTGAGGTTACGAAAGGAGGATTTACTCTAACTATGTGTATTGAAGACTCTGCAGGTATAGCTTTTGGCTTGACAGGAGTTCTATCCAAAGCAGAGGCTCCATTCTTCCAGGATACTGGTTTGGTGCTGCATGTGGACTTGGACTTAATGGGGGAATTAGAATTCTTAGCTCCTGATGATAGCATAATAACTTCTTCAACATGCATATACTTCACTTTTCCATGAGGGATCTTCTTGTCAATCCCATTCTGCCTCAAATCACAAGGTTGCTTGTTAGGTTGAGAACTTTTGCGCAGCCTGCTAGCCGTTCCGAATTGCGACCTGCAAACCAAGTCTTCCATAAAGCCAGATGTTGATGACAGCATTTTAATGCTGCGAAGACAATCATCGCAGCACCAATCTTTTGGAGAAAGCATCACCACAGAGCCACGCATGCAGTAACTTGCAAAAGAAGAAGCACAAGATTATACTAACTTAAATTTAAAACAATATCAGAGCTCGCAATTGCAGAAGGCATAATGAACCATGCATTATATCCACTGGCATTTTGAATTATATATAAAGTGGCTTTAAAAAACTGGAAAGGAATTTATGGTGGCAAGATGCAGTGTGTTTGTAACAAAAATAAGAAAATCATTGTTTGCAACAAATGAACTTGCAAACTTCACATGCAACAGTATATAGGTAAATGTCCAAAAGATACAAAGACAGAGATATATCTTTATTTACAAGGGATGGGGATAGAGAGAGAGTGTGAGATCTTACATGTGTTCACAAGAAATTTTGCATTGAGGGCAAGTTTGAATTGCATCACTGACACCTATGTCACCACAGATATCACAACACTTCTCCTACAGATTGGGACAGAAAATTTTCAGATTACTTATTAATGTATGTTGGTTTATGAAAGGTTTTGGCACTAAATGGACAGTTAGTGCTCAGAACAAGAAGCAATTTTCAAACCAACAGTGTAAGAGATTCACAATGCTATCTATACATTTTTCTCCATATAAGTGATGAAATTCATAATATTGGGATTCAACTCTTATGATAAGAACTACCAAGATTAGTATAAAATGCAATGGTTAATTGTTCAACCATGGACCAATTGGTGCAATGGTAGGTCCATTATCTTCTGTACAAGCTATAGGATCCTCCAGCATGACCACTAAAAGGTTCTACAAATAAAAAGTAAAGGAAAATCAAAATATAGAGAATCTACCCAAAACCATTTTGACTTTGTTTTTTTCTCAACTCAAAGCAGAGACTCAAACAGTGACCAATATTACCAAAAACTTGACTGACTCATTCATCAAATGCTACAGTGAGCAATACCAAACTGCCTCTTTATTTTAAAGCAAGTAATACGTGAACTTCTTTGTACAAAAGATTATAAAAGTAATACACTGTTCTTGAACTCAACAAATTCCAAGGTCACTTAGGATTCATATGTCATAAAAATTCAACAAAACTAGTCTTGCTTAAAACATAACTGAAGCTGTTATGGTGATGGTAGTTTGATAAACCACTTCCAATAAATGCCTTTATCTTATTTATGTACTTCCAACATATGCACACAAGTCAAATTGTTCTAGGATTCGTCCTTACATGAGGGCCTGGATCATCAGCAAAGGAACTGCTCCGTAATACCAAAATATTTCTCATGTGTATTAGAAGCCAAAATGAACCAAACAAAAAAAGACACAATAGGAATGTTGAAACTACAACAAAATTACTAAACAAAAGAATAAAAGAAGACAATGCACAGTACACAAAGTTGAAGGTTTTGATTTCCACCATCTGATTCTTTTACATAAACTACAAGAAGACAATCCCAGTTAAAAAAAAAAAAAAGAAAAAAGAAAAATGGACATCTTAGGCACCAAGACTGGGTACTGATAATGACTTTGATGTGTGATGGTGGACTGGAGGTCAACAAATGAAGCTGTAGGAGATTATCCAGATTTAGATAAATGACCACACTGATTTGCTATCATCTTTACACAGTCAAAGCAACTCTCATTTTGTCAAAAAACAAATAGGGACTAATTAAAGTCTTCTATTCTTTTAGTTATATTACTTGTCTGCATACAGGCTAGAGAGAACATTTATCTTTCACTTATTTAATAATATAATATAATACAGACAATGCAAACTCCAGGCTTTTCCTATACAACAGCAATGGGGGATCTTACTACTTGCTAATGGCAGGTGGTCATTCTGAAACATAGGGCAATAGCAATTTGGCATGCTAAAAGGGTAGGCTACATAACCTCCAAAAAACTCATTTTTCTTTTCACTTTCAATTTACTACATAAAAGACTAGCCAAGTTAAACTAAAATGCAGTTTCAGTACTTCATATCCTACGTAGAAACTTGTAGTACATTATCTCATAAAATCCGCAAAATTACAAAAGAATATCTTTCCCCCTTCAATGCCAAATACTGACAGCATTCATGTACTGAAATTAATAACTTCAAAAAATTATTCATTTACTCGAAGACTATACCAAACCATTTACTAATTGATATGGCAATATATATCATTTGTCTTTGTTGCCAGTCATTCAATACAACAAGCTTGTAATATCTGCACTTCCTCTGCACACATGTCCAAAAAGTTTTATACAACTTTTAGGTCTTGCAATTGTGTACATTTTATCACTAGGTAGATGATGAATGACTTCATATCAAACAAGATATTCAAGGAATTTTTTCTGAATAAAAACTGCACCTTGATAGTCCCTCTACTTTCAAAGTTCCTATTTGCGCAAGCTTTTCTCGAAGTTCTTTATGCAAGGGCAGTGATCAATCACCAAAATTTGTTTAACATCCCAATAGTACCAAATTCCAGAATGGTACATTGATCATTTCATGTGAGATTTAGAGCTGAAATTAAGAACTTTCTACAAATCAAATGAGCCAAAGTTACACAAAATGCAGTGCTAAAATGACAAAATTTTCTTTTCCTTTATATTTTATAAAATGAGTATTTTGTATGTTATCCTTTTCTTTTGGTTCAACATTCACCAACAAACCTCAAATACCCCATTTTAATGCCTTTCAGTTTAAAACCTCTAAAGTTAGCAAATTTACTTAAAAAGACAAAGCAGAAAAAACTACAGGGATACCTATTCAGCAGAAACCAAATGGGTTGTTTTTCACCGAAAAAAAAAATCACATGGTTCCAACCTCCTATCAAAGTAATATACCTAACAGAAGAAATAGGTAACAACAATCTAAACCACTGATACAGAGCATTAAATAAAATCCCATTTCATTAAACACAAGTAGTAAAAGAAAAAAAATATTTTTAAAAAGTAGGAATGAAATGCCCATCTCCACCTAAAAAAAAAAAAAAAACAAAGAAATGTGAAAACAAAGAAAAGTAACCTAACCATATAAATATTCACAAAAAACCAGGAAAAACAACTTTTGATTTTGCCATTGGTCAGCTCTCCACGACGGAAGACCACATGAGGACCAACTACTCAAACCCCCAAATGTTACCGTACAATGCCATGTTTGATCCGTACATAAACCCCAGCATTCAACAAAACCCACTACCCAAAAGCATCATGGAGCAACAATAAACAATGTGATTATGCAGGCCCCAGGAAAAACAAACTACTAGCAAAACTATCTTTTACACTAACTTGTGGAATACAATGCCGGATATTGGTTAAAAAAGTAAGCCTTTTTCATTTTTCCATTAAATAACAAATGCATAATACTTAATAGCAGACATATTTACCCGGTGGGCCTCTGCTGTTGGTTGCTGGTCCTCCATGTTTCTCTTTGACAAGGGTTCTTTCTTTGGAGACTGTGCGACTGCTTGGAGTGTGGTAGCAGTGTGCTCTGTGTGTGTGTTTGTGTGTGTGTGAGAGAGAGAGATAGAGAGAGAGAGCGTTTTTAAAGAGAGAACAGAAGACAGAAAGGACCAGACGAGGTTGAAAAGGGTCCAAATCGAGTCCAAGTGGACAAACAAACAATTATTGACATTAATTTGACCTGGAAATATTTAGTAATAATTATTTAATAATTGGTAGCTGCTGAATGATGATTTATATACGGATTATTTAATAAAAAGAAAATAATTACGGATTTTTTATTGCTAATAATATGTGTTTGGAGGAGAAGAATTAAGGGGACTTTTCGGCTGACACGTGCAGATGTTATGGTTGATAAGGAAATGATTAAAATTGGCATTTTTATTTATTTATTTATAGTTTTGGGGTTCAGGAGGGAAGTGAGCGGGCGTGATGGGGGAGTGTGCGTTGACCGCGAGAGATTTGAGAAATGTTGGGGAGTGTTTTACAATTCCCAAGAATGTTTCCCATTGTTTACTTGTTTTGGAATCCAGGAAGAAAGAAAAATTAACCACTGGCCAATGGGTCAATGGTCACCAGGAAGGGTTTAAGTCCCTCCTTGAACTGTAGTGAGGGTTCAAATTTCATTTGTAGTCAAAAAAATTTAAGGGTTGTGTCAAATAACTCTCTTAGTCTAATTGGGTCTGTATATTTTTGCTGACAAAAAAAAAATGAAAGAAAGAAAAATTGAGAATTTTGAAAACAATAAATAAAAGTATCCTATATATATGTATATATATAATATATAAAAAGGAGTTGTTTATGTGGCTCTTGAAAAATTTTCGTCCGTCGTATTTTGGGATAACACAAGAAGAGTTGAAATAGAATACAAACAGTTGAACTAACTGTACAAATCTGTAATACGCGTTTCAGAACGATTTGAGTATGATACCCTTTGTTATATGATGATCAGATTCTTAATTTGGTTATGAAAATTGTACAAGAATGTAATGCAAGTATGAAATTGAGATAAATTTATTGTTCATAACAAGATTTAATTGTTTCTTACCCATTGCAATCATAACTATAAAGTGATTCGCATGCTTCTCCTTCTTCAGTTTTTCATGTTTTAATATCGAGAATCACGACTACAATATGATTGGAATTCTTTTTCTTCAATTTCCTTTTTTTTTCTTTTAAAATGCAGCTATTGTTCAATATTTTGTTATTTCTTCTGCTTCTTTTCCTTTTTTTTTGGCTCTAGATAATTAAGGAGGTATGCTTTGTTCTTCTCCTACTTAATTTGGTTTGTTTTGATTGGTTGATTTGCAGAATTATTTTGGTGTTGTTGTTATTTACAAATGTGCGATAATAATTTACTATATAGAAAAAATGCTATTCCTTTTAGTAAGTGAGTTATAATATATAAGAATTGGTCTACGAATTGTACATCTAGCTATAGTTTGCTTTATTGTTAATTGTTTATATTAAATTATTTAACTCTCTTTTCTTTAGGAATTAAGTTTGATTTTGAGCAGCTAACATCTATGTTTTGGTGTTTGATTTATCAAAGTACAAAAATTAGTAAAAATGAATAAGTTATTTAACAATGTTTTTGTTGATATTAAGGAATTATTATCGTGTACTTCATTTCATGAGTACCGGAGTACAAGAATGAGCATTCTTTCTTGTAGCTAAAATAAATTTCAAGGATGCTTCTAAACTATATTCATTAGCCATTCATGCCAAAATAATTTTACACATAATGGTTTCATTAAGTCTCAAAATTTGTGTGATATTGCTATGGTTGAAGATAATTTTAAATTATGTGTTATTGTGTAGTTATGTTAATAATTTCTTATATCTAGGGGTGGCAATTTTCGACACGACTCGAAAACACGACACGAATCTAATACGAAATTAATGGATTTGGGTTGAGATTTTGCGGGTTCGGGTTAGAATCGGGTCGAACCCCGATGGACCCGAAAAGAAAACGGGTCGAATTCGGGTCAACCCGTAGGTGATCTGATATGACCCGATAACCCGTTTATGAATTAAAAATAATTTAATAAACATAAAAATTATTTTATCTAACTAAACTAAGTTATTCTTTTTTCCAAAGGCATTAATCACTTAATCCTAAATGAATTTATTTAACTTGTGTGAAGTTGAAATTATTATATTTGGATAAATAATGTATTATATTATTTTTTACTTTTATACTATTTTAATTTATTTTATATTTGGTTTGGGATAAAACACTTTTACGGTGTTTTAATTTATTTTAGATTTAGTTTGGAATTATTTATTTAAATTTTATTACTTGATTATGTAATTAGTCTTGTACGAAATTGATTTTATTAGAAATTACAGTGGTAAATTAATAAATTAAAATTAAGTTTCGGGTCATTTCGGGTCGACTCGTCAACCCGCCAACCTGAAATTTTCGGGTTCGGGTCAGGTATCCTGACTCGTTTCGGGTTGGCGGGTCAGGTTCGGGTCAGCGGATTTTCTGTTACACTCGAGTCTCAACCCGACCCGCCAACCCGAAACGGACCCGATTGCCACCCCTACTTATATCCATATGTTATTTTCCATTCTTATTCCCCCCTTCATCCTTGGATTAACTTCTTGTTCTACTTAATGAAATTTATAAATTGAGCAAATTACGATTCTTTAATACATGAGTCAGTTTCTATTACATTACTTCCCACATTTCTTTCATTTTCTTCTTAACTAGATAGAATAAATGTGTTAGCATAACTTATACTAATACATATATATTAAATTACTAATTACAATTTTTACTAATTATACATTTATTCTATTAAATACACCCACGGGGGAAGCGGGGCGAGAGAGCAAGTGACGAGGGGCAAGGTGAGAGTAGGGGAAATGTTTGGCCAACGGGGTTCCTACTTAAGGGTGTCAATTAATCAAACTACTCGACTTGTTCTTGTTCTCAAGAGTAACTTAGTCAAAGGCTTGACTCAAATTTGGCGTTGATTGAGTTTGAGTCGAGTTCGACCTATTTGATAAAATAATACAGTCGAGATCAAGTAAAAATATCAAAATTCGAGTACTTGTTGAGCCTTATCAAATAGTATATCTATAATATAATTTTTAATTATTTACTATAAAATTATGAAATTTACTAAAAAACCGAGCTTGAAAACTCAATTGAGCTCAATTTGGTCAATTTCAAGTTTGAACTTGAAATCAAGTAAGGTAAAATAAGTTGAAACTCGAGCTCCAGTTCACCTTTGAAGAACTCGACAAGCTTGAGTTCGAGTTCGTTTACACTACTCTAATTCAACTCGACTTGACTTGATGATTCGATAGGAGCTATGTTTTTAAACTCGGACTGGACTGGACGGTTCAACTAATCAAACCGAGAACCGGCAAAGCATTCGGTCTGAGTTTGTCTAAAAAAACTTGTGGTTAAGACTCGATCAAAACCCTGGTTAAACCAAAAACCTGGAAAAACAAAAAAAAACAAAACCCAATTTTTTCAAATCTTGACTTCTTTGACAGTTTTGTTTGAAAATCTCAAAGCAAATCTTGATTAAAAGTCATAGATCTGGTGGTAGCCATGGCACAACCACAATTCTCCCAACATTCAAATTTTGCAAGATCTAAAACTAAAAAATTGTCAGAAAATGAGAAGAGAATCGAGATAAAAATGAATATAAAGAATAGAAATTGATGTTCTTGATTAAAAAGCCAGATCGTGGTGGTGGCCATGGCGGTGGCAGCGGCATGGCCACTTACAGTTCTTCCAGCATTCAAATTTTGCAAGATCTAAAGCTAAAATAAAAGAATTATAAAGAAATGAGAAGAGCATTGAAGACAGAAATGAATATAAAGAATAAAAGTTGATGTTTTCTTTGGTGAAGAAAGAAAAGAAGACAAGATTTTAGAAGTTTGAAAAAGCAGAAGGAAGGAAAGAACGTGATAGGAAAAGTGGATGTTGCAACCTGGAGGAGAAGAAATGATGAAGAAGACAAGGGCGACACATGCACTTCCTTATAATCCTAAGACTTAGAAAGAAGCAAAAAATTAGACATTGGTCCAAAACTTTTCTATTATTTTGTTTTGACCTCTAAAATTTGTGAACAATAGTAAATGCTTTCATAAATTTCTTTATTTGTTAAAATAACCCTCATAAATTAGTTTTAGGCACATCAAGTTTCATTTAAAGCTTAAAAACATTCAATTACAGTTATGATTGGAGGATGCTAAAATTTAGGATGTATAAAAATACAAATAGAGTGATAAAAGGAACATTTTTATCCATATTAATAATATACTTACACATATTTTTATATACGATCTATTAAATTTTTAATTAATATATTTATGACATTATGATGACATCACTCGATTTTTAGACAGATTCGATCCCAGTCGAACCCGTTGACCCCTGACCTCTGAGCTCGACTGGGTCGCTACCTGGTTCGAATTTCAAAACATTGGATAGAAGCCTGTGATACATCGCCTCACCTTCTCTCTCATCTCCTAATTGCCAACCCTCACCTATCCTCCCCAGGACCAACCCCCCTCCTCCTCCTCCACCACCACCAATCCTCCTGCTAGCCTTTTTCCTCATTGGTGTTGCAGACCCCGCCTACACGCCTCAATCTCTCTCCTCTCCCATTGGCCAACACTCCTTTCTCTCCTCCCCATGACTGATGACCTTTCCTCTCTTTTCTGTCCTCCTGATTTGCTAACCTTTTTTCTTCCTTGGTTTTGCAAGCCTCCCTTCCGTTCCTTTCTACCCACATAGCCCACAAAGGTTGAGGGCATGTGTGAGGACCTGTAAATTTTTCATATTTTATATTATTTTATTTTATTTTCTCGCGTGCAATTTTTCTTCACTATACCCTATTATTTCGATTTTCCAGAGATTTTATAAGTAAGTAGAGTTTTTAAATCATTTTCCTAGTTTAAGTTAGTTCATATTAAGTTTGAAGTGTATTATTGACGTGGGACCCGCTAGTGCGGTAAATGCGATATATTTTTGACAACTCGTTGGAATTTTGTATTAAGTGATATTATTTTACAAGA